GTTCATTTCCCTGGGCCTTATACAGTGGTACCTTGGGTTACAAACGCCTCTGCTTACGAACTTTTCTGGTTGCGACCAGCTCCGGCCGCATAAATTTACCTCGGTTTGCGAACCCGTACCTCGGGGTACGAACTGGATTCGCGGCCATTTTTCTGCCCGTGCCACGTAGTCCGCGGCCGTTTTTCCGCCCTTGACGTGTGGTCCGTGGTCGCTGGAACGGATTAACGGTAATTACATTGAACCTTATGGGAAAATTTGCTTCGGGTTGCGAACAAATCGGGTTGTGACCAGAGTCACGGACCGGATTAAATTCGTAACCCGAGGTACCACTGTAGAGGGGAAATTCTGCAAACCGCAGTTTAAATACAATTTAAAAACAGGTAGCAGCCAACACATTTAAGGAAGAGTCACACTTTTTCAATTGTCTCTTCTAGGTATTCACAGTTGAAGAAATGATGCCATATGTACAACACTTAAAAGGAGCTCACAGCAAAAACCTTTTCCTTAAAGATAAGAAGAAAAAAGGCCTTTGGCTGGTGACAGTTCTGCATGATCGACAGATCAATTTAAACGATTTGGCAAAGAAACTGGGTGTTGGAAGTGGGAACCTGCGCTTTGCTGATGAAGCAGCCATGTTGGACACCCTGAAAGTTGGCCAGGGATGTGCAACCCCCTTAGCTCTTTTCTGTGATGAGGGAAAAGTGAACTTTGTTTTGGATGCTGGCTTTCTGGAAGGAGGTCATGATAGGCTTTATTTTCACCCAATGACCAATGCAGCAACTATGGGACTACACCCGGATGACTTCCTAAAATTTCTGAAGTCCACAGGACATGAACCTATAATTGTGCATTTTGATGAAAACAGCCAGTAGCTTTATAACCCAACAGAGTATCTTTTGGAACTTGCATTAGCACACACAATATCCTGCATTCAGAAAGGTTGCAAACATCTGCTATACAGTTCATCTTTCAAGTGAGCAGAAAGATTATAAAAAGCAAGTAATAGAAAAAAAAGTCACTAAATTATTGGTAAGGGAAGGTGTGTGCAATATTTTGGTGGCCAAGAGCCATGCTGATCATTGGGGGGAAATTATGGGCTATGAGGAGGGTGTTGCCCAACATATGTTTGTAAGACAAGATTTTGGAGGAGAATTGGATTTTAATTGTGATTCATTTCCCATTTTAAAATGGCAGGAAACTGCATCATCAGTTTTCATCTTCATGGCCACAAACAGGTAACTTGAGAGCTGCATGTTGCCTAACCCAGGTTAGGAGCAAGATCACTTACATTTTATCTGTATTGGAACTGGTTTCAGGGACATACTGTGCTAATAAATCAGTTGATTAAATACATCTGATTATATCTGATTCATGGGTGTTGGGAATGCCAGTGTTTTAATCCTCATTAGAACCTTAGCCAAGCACAAAAGCTTTTATGTGAAACCAAAAAGAAACATGTATTCCAGAAGTTCTACGAGCCATGGTTGGCAGAAAGAAAACCATGTCACCTCATCTCTTCCCTTAGCTGCATATTCCACTGGCCCACCTGATCTTCTCAATACCTTCCCTTGGCTGTCATTGCCATCTTGGCTTTTTCCCACTCTTATCCTCTCCCCCAGTGCTGCTTGGAGCCATATTCCAGTTGATATTCAGAACAAAATAGTTCCATGTCATTCTGTATCTGGAACACAAAAATGCAAGTTTGGTTCAGACATGAGCTATCCACATTTCTATTAAAAGTTCTCCTCTATATTGTTGTTTTTTATTTTTAAATTATGCAACATTGATATCAATTCTTAGTGACATCATAGACAGACCTTGTTCAGGATGATTGGTTCCCAACCTGGCCCTTCAGGGTTTTCAACAATATGGCCATTGCTGCTGTAATTATGCCCATCCCCCTTGCTGATCATCCTTTTCTTCTCTTTCCTTCCATCTTTCCCAGAATTATAGATTTCTCCAGAGAGCTAGATATTTGCATAATGTATCCAAATCAGGTGGCATTAGCAGCTAACAATCCTTTGAGTTGTTTGGTGCAGGTTTATTTTCAGTTACCAAAATGAATTTAGATAATCAAATAAGATACTTTCTTTGTAACTCTTATGTGGACCAAGCAGTAGAGGAACAAGAACTCTGAGTGTCCTAGAACATGTCATGCTATATAACTGGAGACAGGCTTTAATGTTTTTCAAATTTTATAAAGCTCTAGAATAAGTGTAACACGAAAGTTAGGCAGGAAAGCAAGCAGGCAAACAAACACACAAAGACAAGCCCCAACTTGGTTTTGCCAATGAGCTTGGGGATCCTGTGATAGAGTGCAGCCTGTTAGATGACTGTATGATAGTTAACTGGTAGCACTCTTCTATGCTTGGATGCCATTCTGTCTCTTGTTTTTTAGCTTTTTAAAAAATGTTAAATTGTGGTTTTTATGTACTTTGTACATATGCACACCATCCAAAATCACTATGTGAGATGGGTGGCTATACAAATGTGATAAATAAGATAAATAAACCTAAACCTAACACTCTTCCCCAAAACCTGAACAAAAGAGAAAAGACCCCAGCCCTGATCATGTGTGATGTGGCCCCACCTACTTTGTGTCATCACTCCATTGTGGCTCTCACCCCTCCAAAAGGGTCAAGTGTGTTCCTCAAAAGATCCTATAAACACACCAAAAATTGTAATACATTTTTTCCAATACAGAGTTTTAGGAAAACTCATAAAACTCTATATATGCAAAGTGATTTTTCTTCTAGAGGACCAAACAAGGATCTTTCAAAATAAGAGAAAGTTGACAGGTTATTTTGTTTCAAATTTTAATAACATAAGTAGTGTACAATGGCAAACATTACAAAACTCCTTAATAGGTATAAGAAAAGGAAGTTACAACTTCAAATAACAGTTTCTGTATAACAGTGTTTAATTTGTGTCACAGCCATGTGCTGTTTCTCCTTTTAAGGCAGTTCCATTCTGAACAATGTTTGAGCTATACACAATACAATAAAGTTTACAGAGAACTTACATTGGCCCCATGCTGGAGCTGTGCCATCTCTCAAAATACAAAACATTTTAAGAAATAATGCATTCTGGAAAGAATGATTGTAGCCTTAGCAATCAGCAGCAACAGAGTGGGAATATTTTCATTGTATTATAGCAAATTTGCAACTTTTACTTTGCAACTGCTGAACACTCATGTACAAAGAAAAAGCCCTTGCATTTAGTCCTAAAGGTGATGGGATTTCAAAGTGACACATTATTTCTGACACTGTTACAGATTTCTATATTTTTAAAAAGTGTTTTTATTAACCATGTTAACTAAAATTGGGACAAAGAACTATGGCATACATTTTAACTTTCTTTAGATTAAGAACCTGTGAAATCTAGACAGATCAGGAAAGCCAGTTATATTCTTCAAATGTGCCCTGGAAAGGAAAGCTAAAAACAAGGCTTTGGTTTTCCTGTAGAATACCTGTATCAAGGCTCTTTTCTCCTAAGTTATCAACAGAAAATCATCTGGCTTTTCACAAAATACATCTGTTAAGAAGAGCTATAAAAACAAATTACATATAGCTTACAAGTCTCATACTCCCTGTCCAGAAATATCAGAGGCTTCATTAAAGAAGATGGTAGTTTCAGTTTTAGCAAGGGATTATGTTAAAATATACATATATAACCTTGTAATGCTAAACCAAACCTACTGCCAAAATCAAATCATGAAAAAGACATAATCTATTACTAATTTTTCCTAGGCAAGCCTTGCATGAATAATATTATGCTCTTGATCATCTTCATTACACCAGAGAAGTGTCACTTGTGTTACTTAAAATTGTCTGTAGAAAAACAATGTGTCTCTACTTAAATCCAAATCCAAATATGAATCAAATACAAAACTGAAAAATCAAGAAAATAGGTGCAGTCAGAAATAAATGCTTGAAAGGTAGACGATTGTTCCCCAAAGCTGCAAACACTCTGAAGGTAATTCATACAAAACATATTTGTAGGGCTACTTAGTAACTATTCAGATGTACTGCCAAGATTAGAACCATCACTCTGCCCAATGTTAAGATGAGTTTTCAGGTTCCCACATCTCCACATCTGCAGGTAACAACATTGGTGACCCAAGAAAGAATAGCACAACTGAAGAGGCCCCAACATTAGAGTGCTCTTTACAAAGAGGGTTGCATACAAATCTTTTCAGTGCCAGCTTTTTATTCATCTAAGCTAGATTTAACCTGATTTAGTACAACTGCTTTGGTATTTTCATGGTACTGGTATTGAAAATTGTCAAATGCTCATTAGGTGCATCTCCTTCATTAGGTTCCTGATTGTTAATTAATTTTAGCATCAATATGAATTTGTCTTTTGTATTTTTCAAAAAAATGTTAGCTGCCTTAACTTACTTGAGAAGGCAGAGTATAAATCAAAAATATAATAAATAATAATGATGAAAGTCAATTTGAGAACCTCTGGATAGACATTTCATCAATAAATAAAAATGAAAGTATCTCATATTGCTGTGCACAGTGTAAAATAGCCACTGTACATGATCATGTGAGTTGGCTCTTGGCCATCTGAGTTTTCAATTCTTCATCATGACAGAATAGAACCTATCCAAGTTAAGTGTAATGTCATTCTTACCTAGATAGACAATGCTACCTGGGAGGCTTATACTTTAGGATTTATTTGTTCAAATTACTTTTTCTATTCAGTAAGTTGGAACTGTCTGAAAGACTTTCTGCCCTGTATTTCCAAAGAACTCTTCTGAGAAATGAAGGTGGTCACAAGCTCATCTACTCTGGCCTTTATGTTCATCCTTCTATGATTGTTTATCAATTTTCAGGTCCTTCAGTGTGCCCAATATTTATACACGCATGATCAATTTTAGTGATTTTATTTTCTTCTCATTGAAGATGTTGTACAGTATAGGGATGTTTATATAGAATCTTCCCTCCATACGGCCAAGCTGGATTCACATTTAATACTAAAACATGAAAAGTATTGTACTGATAGATATTAGCTAACTTAGATAATGAGATGCTACCATAGACTAAATTAAACAATACAGATTGTTCTAGAATTTTCATATGCCTAAGGTAAGTTTTTTCCCCACATTAAAATTGGGGAGAGCCTATCATACACTATAAATTTTATGGCTGTAATTTTGCAACATACTAACCCATTTCATTGAATTAACCCAACTGTCCGGGTGTGTACGGTGTAATGAACTAACTACATTGGCTGGATGTGCACAAGACCGAATCACCTATTACACATCTATACTTTACCTTTGTGGGTTGTGTGAACCCAATCTTTCATTTAATTGTTTTCTGTCAAAGCCAGATTAGGAATGGATAATGGCTTGATTTGTTATATTGGTCAGGAATAAACCTACTCAGGCACAACTGTTACAAGATTATACATTGTATTGCTCTCAATGTATTTCTAGTTGTTTTATCTGACCCCTGTAGCTCTGTAGTTGCTATTCATTTGGCACAGAAAAGAGTAGAATTTATTGTTACCTAATAGAAATAACACTGATTGTCAGCAAAATCCTGGGGAGTATAATAATGTTTCCCTTTTTTTAAAAAATATACAATGTATAGGTAGTAGGCCCAATTCAAACAAGATATTGCAATTCTAGTTGTGACTAATTTGGCTGAGATACAAATAATGGGATTAAAGATACACATACATTAACAAGATTAAATAAAACATATAAGGTTAAATATGATACATATCATGGAAATATTAATAATTTAGTGGCTTGTAAGAAAATAAACTTTGAAATTTAATAGAAACCAGAAACCCTTGTACATCTGCAAAGATTAACCAAATCTAATTTCCTGTATTGTTTGCATATAAATATTAAGAAAGTATCAACTATTTTAATCAGCCTTAATGCATATTATAAGAAATAAAAATAGGACAACATTAGTAAGTAATTAAAAACAGCTTGAAAAATGTTTATGATGATCTTTCCCTATAAACACTTTCAAAGCCATTATTTATCTCAAAATATCAAATTAAAAATATACATTAAATATTTAATATAAGTTTATTCTGGATGGTATCTGTTGAAAACAAAATTGATTTAATTCAATTTCAAAATTTCAGAAATAGTTTTTTTATCATCTTTTTGTTGTCCCCTCCCCCAATGGCTGTATTTCTGTGGTAAAGAAAGTACATGGAAAAGATTGATTAATCTGAGAGTGGATTAAAATATTATGTTTTGAAGTACCTAACTGAATTATTCTTGCCATATACATCAAAATAATCAGCATTCTTGTTTTCCTAAGAGTAACATCATGCACACCAATAAGACTGAAATGACAAGATACTTGTGGAGGTCTTTTTCCTACCTGTATTTACAACAAATTCCACAATTTACAATAGACTTTCCTCATTTCAGATTTACAGAACTAAATGCTAAACAGAGCAGAAGTAATAAGCAACTGATTACTATGTTCATAAAGGAACAAGAACATAGTAATTGTGTTCCTGAAGTAATTCTTGAGACTGCACAACCCTTGGTCCTCAGAGAGATGAAAATTCTCCTTTACTCAGAGATCATAACAGTGCAATGTGCAATATAGTCTGTCTTTTTTAAAAAATCAGCAGCAGCTGCTGGTACAGTTCCTTGATTCAAGGAAATAAGATGTGCATTTCTTGACTGCTCTATTCATGAAGGACTGTAAAAACTTTGAACATTTTTTTAAAGCATGACTCCTATAGCCGGACACCTTGTTACTTCAGAAATAAAGGCTTCATAATTGAGATACTGAAGGACACTTTTCTCTCTGTGTTCAATTAAAAAGCAGAAAGAGAAGAAGATAAAATGTAAGAAAAGCTTAGCTATAGAAGAGATCTAAAAAGTAGTTACTAGAAGAACTAACAAGATGCAATAGAAGCAGTTTAAGCAGCAACAAGAAGAAATGGAAAAATGTATATAGCAAATACTATATAGCACCATCTTCTGGTTGTAAGAAACTACAAAGATTATATTGGGTTAAATTATAGAAGTGATTCCTACTGTGTTGAATCTGATGTTCTCTATATAGGATTGCAGCCTAAGCCATTTGATTTTCTTTGCTTATACATGCATCATATACAGAGCTGAACATAAGCTACAACTCTGTCTAAAAGTGAAAAAAGTCAGTAAGGAGAAATACTGGAAGGACGTTTCTAGTCCTTAGAACAGCAGAGATATACTGAAAATACGTTTTTTTACGAACCGTAACAAGAAATGGTCCATGTATTCCTATCATCTTTTACATAGTAAGAACAGAATTATGCAAAATAATAAAAATAGCAGGCACTTCAACTAAGAGGCATTCTGCTTACATAATACAAACTATAGTATCCTGCTGTTCTTGGCACAGAATCTGAGTTGCCCTGATCATACGTTGCTATCTCTCACTGAAATGTAATGGGTACCCAAGTATTTAGATAAAATACAGTATCATCAAAGGGACACTCAGATTAGCTGGTTCTTCAGACACAACAATAAACATGAGCCCTGCTTCAAAAAGACTATATCAATACAATACAGAAAACACAAACAACAATAAATCAATATTCAGATAATGATTTGGTACTATATATACACTGATAGAATTTTGGAGAAATATTTTAGTTTTTAACAGGGAAAAGAAGATAAATTTAAGAGTGGATATTCCTTGCCTGGCAGATAAAATTAAATGTGCTGCTCTCATTTGGCTTGAGCAATAGGCAAGATAGCAATCTACTTAGTCCAGCACTACTGACAATTGTTAATGCAGTGTGCATGTGTTCTTATTTGTTAATATTAATTTCTTCCCCTCCTCTGTAAATGAAAATGATCTCATTTACATGTTGGGCAAAAAACTCACCACTTGGCCCACATCTCATGTTGTAGGGGCAATTGAATTAGGAGCTTTCTTGCTCCCTACAACTGCTTTTTGAATTTCTTTTTTCTGGTTTTGCTTCCACATCTGCAGAAGAAAAGCATTTCATGTTACTTGTTTAGCAGTCAAAATAAAATGTTCTTACATTGCAACAACATTGGCAGGTATCATTTATACAAGGTTTACAAAAATTAAGGAGAGAAGTAAGAAAGGAAAATAGGAATACAGCTGATATTTTTACAAATTTATTTTGCTAATACTTTTTCTTTGCAATTAGAACAGAGAATTTATCACTCAGGAAAGAACAGTTCTAAATATAATTCTTCAGTGAAATAATAAGAACTTTTATGGAATTATGTCATATAATCAGTTACATCAGCAAAGAATATGCACAGGATTTATTCATTATATCAAATTTTAAAGCTGAAAATCATCCTTGCATGCGGTGATAATGGAACATGCAAAACCCAGTTATCTGAAATTAGCTCTTTACTTGGAAAAGCAACACTTCAAGCAAGTATTTCGCTGTAAGCAAGATAATTATCTTCATTCTCAGCAAATCAACCTCATGCTTCTTTTGCCACTGTGGTTTGTATTTAATTCTAACAGGTGTCAAACAGTAAAACTCTGGAAGTGCACTGAAGACATCAGTTTGAAGAATCAAATGTGTGACTGATCTACCATCCTCAAATTCATAACTAAGGTTTCTTGCATATTTAGTAACCTCTTTTCAAAGCAACAAGTGGATGCATTCAGTATAGAGTAAGCTGTAATTGGTATTAAGGCAGATGAAGTCTGTGGCTAAGGTTATGGTTCTTTTCACCCAAACAGACACTAGCACTAGGTTACTTATTACCATCTCTGAAGAACTTTATTTTTGCTAACTTTTGTCTACTTCTGACTGGATCTCCCTCAGACCAATCTCTAGATCATCCTTCTACCATTCTAGACGTTTGCAACTATTAAAAGCCAAGAAGAGCACAGCTTCAGTTTCCTTCCTGCTCCATTTAAAGAATAGAAGAGAATCAAGCAACAAATCCCAGAAAAACAGACTGCCCTTGGTTGATGAGTTAAAAGAGCATCTACTGTCTCCAGTTGGGGTGTAAGAGTTGTACATACTCAATAAGAAAATAAATTCTTTGCTTAGTGATTGACAAGAAGAGGAGTGTGGAAGAATATGTTGCTTAACAAAATTGCAGGCACCTGTGCTGCCTTCTTCCCCTATTTGAGCCTTCTCCCCAGCATCAGCATGGCAGAGTTGCTTATAAAAGCTGCAAACCTTGAAATGAGGGGAGGGGATTGGATTGGATTGGATTGGATTGAGGAGATGTGCAAGTTTTGGAAGGTTAGCAGCAGGAGGAAAAGCAGCCAAATAAAAGAAGCCATTTTTCCTTCATAGAAACTGGATAGTCCAGAAGAAAAGAAGAGAGGCAGAGCAAGGAAAAGTGCAAGTATAAAAGCACAATGTGGAAAGTTGCAAGTACTCTACATGCTGGCCAGTAACAGAAAAAAAAAGCAGAAGAAATCCAGAGAGAGAAATTAAGGCAGAACAGTGTTTGCAAGAAGAAAACATTGTTATAGAATAGTTATACAATAGAGTATAGTATAGAGGAAATGCTGTAATAGAAATAGTAATATTGTAATTGCTATAGTAGTAGTAATTAGTGAAGTATAGCTGGATAGCTTAAACTTAGTTCCTGATCTGGATTATCCAGCACTGAGGAAGAAAAAATAGATAATTTCCATGAGAACATTGTAGAAAGAATTTGTGATCTTCAAATGAAAGTGGAAGATTATGATGTTGTTAAAGTGATTGGAAGAGGTGCATTTGGTGAAGTATAGTTGGTTTGCCATAAAGTAACACAGAAAGCTTATGCCATGAAGCTTCTAAGTAAATGTGAAATGCTTAAAAGGTCAGATTCAGCATTTTTCTGGGAAGAGAGAAATATAATGGACTTTGCCAATGGCCCATGGTTCAGCTTTTTAGTGCCTTTCAAGATGACCAATACCTATAAATCCATGGCAATGGAATACATGCCAGATCATGATCTTGTCAACCTCATGAGTAATTATGATGTGCCTGAGAAGTGGGCCAAATTGGTCCTTGCTCTCAATGTAATTCATTCCATGGGCTTAATACACAGAGATATGAAACCTGATAATATGCTTTTGAATAAATATAGACATCTGAAGCTTGCAGGTTTTGATACTTGTATGAAAATGGATGACACTGGCATGGTGTATTGTGATACGATTACATATCACCTGAAGTATTAAAATCACAAGGTGGTGATGGATATTATGGATGGGGATGTGGTTGTGTTTGTGTAAGCAGTGGGATTGGCTCAGACTCAAAGGATTCATTAAGTACTATGCATGAAAGGAAAACAAACCTTAGTTGCTAAAGAAAGGGAATTTGGCCCCCTCAGACTTTGCAGGCAATAGCCAACATTCTGGCTGCAGAGGCCAGACCTCTCACTAGAACTTACATCAAACAAACAGGGATGGAAAAGGTAGAAGGGGCTGATTCTCCTTTGGAGACAGAGGAGGCTATTACTCTGGTAGAGACAAGTGTGCAGCCTAAGCCTGTAGTTAAAACGAAGAAGGCGGAACAGCCAGGTACTTGGGCCAATATCATATCAGAAATGTTGAAACAACAGCAAGAGAAAAGGCTTCAATTAATTAAAGAAGAGGAGGAAGCGCAGCTCTGGAGAGACAGAGAGGAAGGATAAGTTAGAATGGGAAAAGAGTGAGAGAGAGGCAAGGAGGGAAGAGTTTAGAGGGCGATGTCCAGTCTCCAGGAGAGGCACATTCACTTCTAAGGTTTCCTGAACATATAGAGAGGGGAAGCGGACCCAAAGGTATCCAAATCCCTAAATTAACGGAGAAGGAAGATACAGAAGCCTATTTCACTATGTTTGAAAGGGTTGCTACCTCCTGTAAATGGCCCAAGAGTGAATGGGTGGCCAGGTTGGCCCCTAGTTTAACAGGAAGAGCTCTAAGGGCTTATAGCAGTCTCCCAGCTAGGGAAGTAACGGATTATTATCATGTGAAAGAGATAATCCTATACAGGAATGATTAACTCTTTTCCCTTTAGGCAGCAGTTTAGGAGCTACATGTGTGACAAACATGAAAGGGTTTGTGAATTGTGGGCAAGTCTGGAAGACCTAGGTAGAAAATGGTTGAGGCCAAATGAAAGGAGCAAAGAAAAAGTGGTAGAGGAAGTAATTTTAGAATGATTTCTACATGTACTCCCTACCAAAGTGAGATTTTGGGTGCAGGAATACCATCCCAAAACAGGCCAAAGGGCAGGAGAATTGGCTGAGGATTTCCTGGCAGCAAAAAGGGCAGAGGATGATTGGAAGGGAGATATAAAAATCCAAGTGTCTTATGTTCACAAGCAATGGATGCTTTTGAAAAGTTTTTCAAATATTCAATATGTTATTTACTAGTGCTATTTTATATGACAATGTCAACAACTACTCTATGTTATCCTAAAAATTCTAATTATATGATTAGAAAGAAACAATGTATCTGTAAATTTGGTTCTCTATGGGTACACAGTAACATTTAGAACCTTCCAAAATAAGACAATAGAGAGCCAGTTTGGTGTAGTGGTTAAGTCATCAGGCTAGAAACCGGGAGACTGTGAGTTCTGAGCCTGCCTTAGGTACAAAGCCAGCTGGGTAACTTTGGCCAGTCACACACTCTTAGCCTTGGGAAGGAGACAGTGGCAAACCACTTCCAAAAAAATTTGCCAAGAAACCTGCAGGGATTAGTCCAGGCAGTCATCAGGAATCAATGCTGACTTGAAGGAACAAAACAAAACAAAACACAAAGTCAATAAGAGTTTGGACAGGAAGTTGACTCTCAGCTCCAACATTCCTGGTCTCAGCTTCAGGATGTATTCTGGAACCCATGTGGTACAAAGAACTGACAAAACATGATGCATGCTTAAGGGAAATAGCACTGACCTTCCTGTTCAATTTCAAACTAAGTACAGTGGTACCTCGAGTTACGAATTTAATCTGTTCCGTGACTCTGGTTGCAATTCGAATTAGTCTCAACACGAGGCAAATTTTCCCATAAGGATCAATGTAATTGCCGTTAATCCATTCTGGCATGGAGGACAGGGAGGCGGCTATTGCTTGGAGGGAGAGTCAGGGGCGGAAAAATGGCCGTGGACCACGTCAGGGGTGGAAAAATGGCCGTGGACCACATGTCAGGGGCGGAAAAATGGCCGCGGACCACGTGTCGGGCGGAAAAATGGCTGCAGACCACGTGTCGGGCGGAAAAATGGCCGCGGACCACGTGTCAGGGGCGCAAAAATGGCCGCGGACT